TCCTGCGTCAGATCTTGATATCGTCGGCAAACATTAGGGAGTTTGAAGCGATTCCCTGTGTAAGGTCATTAATAAACACCATAAACAGACGTGGACCTAGGAGTGAGCGTTGCGGCACACCACACTCGACTTGTGTGGGGTCCGATTAAGAGCCCCAAACGCTGACTACTAATTGCCGGTGAAGTAGAAAATTGGCAATCCAGCTTAAAAGAGGGTCGCCGATCCCGTAAAGCTGGAGCTTGGAGAGTAGTATCCGATGGTCTACACGATCGGAAGCCTTCGAACAATCCAGGTAGATTACATCAGCGCCTTCTTCAGCATCTTCTGACTCTGTCCAACTACTGCGTGCGCTTAGTGAATTTATTGTGCATGACAGCTGTCGACGGAAACCCTGCTGCTCAGGTGTGATGATGCTACAGTTTTCCAGATAGCACGTCAGTGCATCGGTAACTATGGATTCCATGACCTTGAAGAGTATAGGAAGAATTGATACTTGGCGTTAGTTGGAGGGATCAGTTCTGCTTCCACCTTTGTGAATCAGGGTTATTCTTCCAAGCTTCCACATAGCGGGAAGTTGGTACTGGTCGAAGAAGCACTGGAAAAACTTAGCTAAAGGTCCTGCCAGTTATCTTCAGATCAGTAATGAAGCACAAGATAAAGAAATTGTCAACTTTCCCGTTGACGTGGCCATCAGCTGCTACCTTACGTTCGCTCTCTCTCGCTCTCTCTTGCGACTCAGTGCCGTTTCATTCTTTTATCCATGGTCAAGCCCTGTGCTTACTAAGATAATACGTCCCTCTAGAAATTTGTCGAGTATTCTGCGCAGTTATGTAAGCAAATTCCAGAGTTCGGTTTATGGTGCTTATCCAGCGGACATGCGGTTACATGAAACTAAAGGTAGGACGGATAAAGATGGATCGGGCTGTCAGGACACATTGGGTGACATTTGGAAAGGGATGCTTAAGTGGGAGAAACGGAGGTAGCAACATGTGGACGCCACCACTGGCAGCGTGTTTTCATTCATGCAACCCAGTGCCATTCAACAGCGATTGTAACTCTTCCAGTTTACGGTTGAGGCTTGAACAATTGTTTCGCGGGACAATCAGACCTACGCTAGAAACCCGTTTAGACTGAGCTGATCTCCTTGAAGCGAAATACCCTAATTGGCTGAAGGGTGGGTGTCGAGGTGTAATTCAGCTTCTGCTTCTTACTGCTCTGCATCTCGAGGAAAAACCACATCCTCTTGCCACTTAACAACGCACTTGAGGAGACGGTTAGAAAATCAATCTGTTTCACTAATAGGGATGCAGGGGCAGTCGGTCTATCGAAAATTCCCTGTTCTATACTCCAAACGGCCACAAGGGCCGCACAGGCTTTTTTAACTGAGTTCAAGTGATCGACCCAACTAGAGTGGCAGATTCATTTCGCGTCTCAAGCACAGTAGAACAACATAAAACACGCGCAAACAATTAGTTATATTATATAACCGTATATTTTTCTCCATAAACATCGGTAACTGGAAGGCAACAAATGGCTACATCCTTGCTGAAGGCGATCGTAGTGATAAACTTATACCACGGAATGCTCGTGTGAACAACATAGGTTGTAACTTATCTTATTTGTGAAACAGAAATATTCCGATATGTTCTCCTTGGCCTTCAGGATGAAGTAGGAATCGCGCCTCGTTCTCACTCCTTTTCGGTTTTTCGAAAAAATTTCTCAAGGTTATTCCCAGTTTGGATCAGTTAACGTGCCTTTCTAAAGGCAAGTAATCGTCCGTCATTACTGTCTATGTCTAACTTGAGTCTGGGTTGTGACTCTATTTGGGGGCTGTGAACCATAAATGAACGCAGTAGGTTGTTTAGTTCTGATACTTTCAGTCACGTATCACTGAAAGGTATGCTTAGTCAATCAATGATAAGCAACAGGAACCGATTCCCATGCGAAGCCTTTTTGTTACGAAACAATCCTCTTGCGACGGATTAGATTATAACGCAGCTGGAATATCAAACAGTACTCAAGAAATAATCATGCATCAGTGATGTCTAACTGACTGATTTCAGGAGGCAAGTTTTTGGGTCGGGTTCTGCCCATAAGAGGATGGTCGGCTTCAGCCCGTGGGATCATACCTGTGCACGGGTTTTCAGTATGGAAATCTAAGTATCTCGATAAGGGAACATTTCGGTTGTTGCCGCTTAACAGGGTTGCGACACAAGCTGTAGCTGTCACAATGGGTTTGGGCTGCTTAGTCCCCATATGTCTTCGCTTCGACTAAAAAGAGTTAGTTGCGTAAAAGGTATCCGACATACGATAAACTTGTTATCCGCTTCTTCCGGTAGTTAGAGAGCCGCAGTTTGGTGAGGGCAGGATAGGGGGCCGAATCTGTTCATCTCCTAACCGAAATGCAATGTTTCACAGGCGTTTTACGTGGTGCGTCTGATTCTTACTGGGACAACCCCGCTGCAGTTAAGCGTAGCCACACTGACTTCTGCAAGACTGAAACTACGCGCAGAATGGTAGTAATGCTGTTGCTAACCACTGCCTGAGTTCTTTTGTTAGCGTAGATAACCGCGTTCATACCGATGGAAATCTTTCCCCAAAAACCAGTTGACAGCCGCATGCACAGGCACAAAGTTGTTGCAATCCAAACAAGTGCATCCAATGGGCGTTGAGTTTATTACGAAATTAGTACTATTTCGCCTTGCTTACACTAGTCTTTGTGCTCGCTCTAATAGGAAACTGTCCAGCAGGAATGGGCGCTTAGTAGTTCACTCGTCTTTTCAGTGGTGCTGCACATTCTGGCGCGCCATCTTCCAGCCTAAGTTTTAACGCGGTCTAAAGAAGATGATATGCAACTAAGGCGACAGAACCGTGGTGTTTTACAGCATACTAAGTTTATCTATGGATGCGAAGATATGCACCTACTTGCTGTATACTTGTTAGCACTCACTAACGGTATGTTTATTTCAAGCCGGACTTTTTCTTGGATGCAGAAGGAAACTGCACTTACAGTCTGGGTCCCATTGAAGTGAACAGGGATGTGAAACCCTTCGCAAACCATGGCTAGACAGAGAAGGTATTATTGTTATACGGAAACAGGAGGCCAGTTGACTTCAGTTTTGGTCGCAAATCGGGTGCGGGCTAGCAGCGTTGCTTGTCCACCCAGTACAACTTGATTGTGTAGATAGCGTGCACAACTGAGCAAGTGCTAGCCTTCTGTGTGGAGATCAACCAGCTTGTCCCATCAGCACGTATTCCCGACTGAGACCCAAAAAACTGATGCCCATGTGACTGGCCTGCTTACGTTTGTGTGTCGGCGTATGCGTATGCCAACGGATGAACGACTGTTGGTAACACTGGTGATCCACGCAGGACGATAACAGCTGACTGCCAATCGGATTCCGGGTTGAGGAACCCGAATTGTCGGTGTAATCATCTGTCAATCTTTGCTTCCCCACAAAACTTGTGGTTGAAGGACTTACGTGTGTAACTCCGAACAGCGACATTAACTAGCCCGCTTCGCAGGGATTATTTTGAGTGATCAATTTTTGTTGGTTGAGAATTAGGAAATCTGACTCGAATGCCTTCTAGCGCACAATGTTGTGCACCAGTTTGTTATAACATATCACTAACAGCTCCACCTGTGTAGATCAGATTTTATGGCATCGCCCAACATTTTCACCCAATAACAGAGTTCCAATCTGTGGTATACCTCCATCTCTTTGCATTTCTCGATCCATCCGGACTAGTTCACATTTGTGTGCCGCAGGGAGCGCGCGTCTACGTTGTGGCCGCGTCATTCGAACCGAAAACTAACTGACTTTAGCCTGTTGCCCTTAAAAACGCATTCATCCACTTCTGCTTCTGATAAACAGGATTATATGCTAAACTGTTCACAATATCTCAATACTGTTGAATCGCATTTGCACATCGACGGCTTGCACCAATAGATTTCGATCAGAAGTTCATGGTTCCCAATTTTCGATCTCAGTAATAAGTATTCCTAGTAACTTTCTATGTCAGTCCAAAAGTTATTTTATGCAATTGAATAATACAGTTTGTTGAGCGGTTGGGACAGGGCGCTCCAACTTGTTCGATGCACAAAATCCCACATACTTATTTGCACTTATCCTATTGGGATGAATAGTGTCCGCGCTACGAGAGTACTACATAGGCCTAGCCGTTTCAAAATCCTGTTATACCACTGCGCTATACACTTAGGTCTGCACAGAATTGTTCCATGCACTCTAATTTGGTGATCGGGTTGCGCAAACGCAAACCAGAAATACGTCGGTAGGCTGGTCGAACACAAATCAGTACGACTTGTTATTAATGTCAGTAGTATGGGAACCACAATAAATGCACAGCTTGTGGCGAGATACTAACCAAGGCGCATGAATCACAATACAACAAACGGTGATTCATAACGACCAGTCTTTTGGTTTACTCAATCCTCCCGTGAGGGCTATCCTCTGTTTGATGGCTGTCTCAAACGAATGCGACCGATCGGGTTCAACCTCCTTATCATCTGCCGCGGAGTAAAAGGACGAAGTTCTTTTAATGGTACGCACACACACACACACAACTGATTGATGGTCCTCTCTCCCCCTTATTTCTTTGCTACTGTCTGTTTGACTCGGTGACCAAGGGGTTTTAACTTCAGGTCTGTTTTTGTTTTACTCCATTTGATAAGTCCTAAATTAGTGCAAGCTACTCTTGGAAATGTATACTTCCACCTGTTTTATTTCGCTATCAACGGAGGATTTCAATAGATGATGTTTTATCAATTAACCAGTTGAAACATTCAGGCATTTTGTACAGTGCCACATAATCCTTACACACAACGGACGTCAGATGAGTGTAGTTATTCTTGTCCTCTTGCTCCTGTCGGACCTTCTGTTGCACGTTTTTCGGTCAGCAAAGCGAAAGTTGTCTCCGTCATCCTCTGTTAAAGACACTATGATGGTAACTTCACCCCGACCTTATCGATTGCTTTCAAGCTACTACCCACTCTTCTGGACTCCACGTTCGAGCATACAAACGCTATCAACAGTGAGATGGAACTATGCTTCCTATCGTTGGGTCGGCCCAAAATGGGAATGGTAAGTCTAAAAGGAAGGGGTCCACCCTGCCTCCTAAAGGTGTTGGTGCTTCTGTGTGTGTGTGTGTGTGTGTGTGTGATTACTTGCTGTTCGGTGCACTCTTTTAAGCTTACTTTCTGCGGTGCATCTCTGTCCAAATCACTCGCATGTTTCTCAGCAAACCTGTTCCAAAGTGTTACTAACATAAAGCTGTGCCCCAATGCAATTATGTACCGAAGCGGAGGTTAGTGAGGTCGGCCAACGCGATCTCACATACGGACTATTCTCCTGGGAATTTCCGAGGCAATTCAGACTTAAATCAAACATAAGCAACAATAAGCATAGTGCCCAGGCACAATAAGTATTCTATCAGTTAAGCCACCAATTAGGAAGCTTCATCAAGTTCCATCCATTGTCTCGCTTACCCATGCACTCGTCATGGGGTTGCTTATTCTGAGTTTGACGGTACCCCTATAGCCTATCCCTACTGCCCTGATAGGGGAGGGACGCAATGAATTGCGCCAGTGCACAGTTTTGATTCACCCACCAAGAGCCAAAGATTCACTGAACCATCAACGTGAAACAGTGTATCTTATCAATGCGTTCATGAAGGTGGCTGTAGCAAATAAATTATTCCCTGGTACGATGTCGGCAGCGATTTCTCGGACATAACAACCGGGCACGAAAGTGATACGTGGTTCGAGTATATATATATATATATCGCGGGAGAGGTTATGATACGCTGAGGATGCTACTGGCTAGATCCTGACAGATGGGCTACCCACTGTTGCTACCGTTGTGGCATGGGCTCATGTCCTGGACGCATCGGATGGGGTGACAGAGTTGCGGACACGGAAGCGTGGCATCGAAGTGTAATGTATGCAGTGAACTGCATACTTTTGCTGAGACATCTGAGGTGCCTCGGTCATGTGAGCCGCGTGAATTCGACGCTGAACCCGAGGCAGCTATTATACGGTCAGCTGTGTTGGGAAGCGCAATGTCAGGAAACCGAAGCTTCGTTACCAGGACATGATCGAAGTGCACCTCTCACGTTCTAATTTTGATTACATGTCATGGGAATTGAAGGCGTCAGATCGGCTTGCATGGCACGATCTGATCACGAAGGCAGTTGCCGAGGTGCGGGAGAAAGACCTCATGAATGCGGAGAAAGGGCGACAAGAGCGGAAGCGGCAAGCGCCGATGGGTTGTAATCTATCGACATCGAGTGCATGGTACTATAACACATGCGGTCTCTAGTGCCTGAGTCATGCAAGCCTAGAGAGCCATGAGCGGGGCCACTCGGGACCACCACCGAAACGACGGCGGGTCGTGCAGAGAACGTAGGCAAAACCGGTGCAGCGTTTGTAGGTAGCTGCATTCGATTTACAAAACGCGTGCTTGCATGCTAAGTCTCTTCATTTCAGGTGGTAGCTTTGCTATACCGTCTCATAAATATCCAAGCGAACTATATTCTATTAACTAGCACATGTCGTTTATGTTAATTGTAGTTAAACTTGAGTATATTTTCGCATTCGTGACTTTTCCTAAATCATATTTCCTGACGTCTTGAACATATTTCGAAGATTTTGACAACCAACTGTTTCATGTGCTCATTTATAGAATAGTTATGTCACCGTATCTGTATGCATTGTTCGATTTCTTTTGTTAGGTATTGTTGTTTCAAGTCTTTGGCTGTTGTTTGACATCCCCGGTGTGACTGCGCTTGATGTGCATGTTGACAAGGTGCCTATCTGTCTATTACCCACTACCTCGTCCATACTGGCCTAGAAGACAGTTGGTCGTTGCTGGAGGGGACGAGGTGCACGGTCGTTTTGGCCGTGATAGGCTCGAAGTGTGGTTCCAAGCAATCAGTGTGGAGCGGACTACAGGCCAGCCAACACCTTGCGTGCGATTGATTCACCAAATAAAGTGTGCTTGTGTTTGCCTATAAAGGAGTGTGACCTGGCTCCGTTGATAACACGTGGCTCACATCCCCATACCTCCCGGTATTATTCCTTCGGCTTCACACTGTATTTGGGGAATCGAGCGCACACAAGGCGGTTGCTGGCCTGTAGTCCGCTCCACACTGAGTGCATGGAACCACTCTTCGAGCCTTTCACGGCCTAAAGGCCGTGTTGATGGGGAGCCCATATTTTGCCGTTGTCAAAGCCAGGGCACTAGTCATGTGCTGCAACTCATCCGCGCTGTGTGAGAACAACGCACAGTCGTCAGCAAACAGCAACATACGGATAGTTGTCTCACAGACAAGGGTTCTCGCACCGAAACGACGGATGTTCAGCAACCCACCATCAATAAGGTGCTCCACACGAACACCGTAAGCACAAGCCGCATCAAAAGCACAGGACATCATTGAATGAAGATATATAGTAAAGAGGACAGGAGCTAAGACACAACCTTGCTTCACACCAGTAACAACTGCAACGTCATCCGAGATCGCTCCACTCAGCCGCACCCTCGCTCGCATACCACTGTGCAGGCATGTAATTAAACTTACAAACTTACGCGAGCAACCAAACTTACCCAACACCAACCACAACGCCTCGCGGTTCACCGTAGCAAATGCTTTGGTGCAATCAACAAAAAGCGAGTGCAACGACTGACATCATTCTCTACATTGCTCCTGCAACTGATGAGCCGCATACACCAAATCTATAGTGCTGCGACCCGATCGGGATCCACACGACTCTTCCGCCACGTTAGGTTCCACAACCTGACTGACGAAACGGTTGAGCACGATTCGGGCAATCATCTTGTCCACACAACTCAGCAAGTTGATGCCACGATAATTCGCAGCACATTGCTTGCTCCCTTTGCCCTTGTACAGTGGTAGCACAAGGGCATCCTTCAGCTCAGGAGGTACCTCCTCCTCAATCCACACGCGTTGCACCAAGTGGTGCAGCGCAGTCACCAACGCGGGTCCGCCGTGTTCCAATACTTCAGGCGGGATCCCGTCGGCACCGGTACACTTGCCGTTTCGCAGCTGAGCATATGTTCTCTGCGTCGCATCCAGTGTCGGCGTGTTCGCCATGCTCGCCTTCATAATGTGCTACTTCATGCTTCATCGCAATGAGGCTGGATCTTACCGTGGTGCGATGGTTTGGGTGCTACAGCGATCCATTGAGCTATGCTGGGTGGTGCATTTTTGCACCTTCAGAGCCACTCATACCAGATTGGTCAATGGTTAGAGGCCAGACAAACTCAGTCTCCTGGTCCTCCAGGTTGGGGGTTGGAATGGGGGTGGCTCCTCATTTCATAAAATGGACTCCTCAGTCCAGTGCCAAAACCCGCTGCCTTGCGGTAAGGTTTTTGAACCAAAGACTTTGGTTGAGAACCCTAATCGTTCTCCTGTCTAGGCCTGGGCAACCTGACAGTATTCTGCCCACGCAATACAATGAAACTTCCCTACAACAATTTCTTGATGCTCTGGCCGTCGAAGAGGATAATCAACGGCGCCCTATCTGCTGCATCGAGCAGGGTGGATAGGGGTATGGATGCTACTGCTCAGGCCTTCCCGTCTTCTTATACCCCTTCTTGCGCTTTTTCACCCTTATCGTCCCGCTCCAACTTTACTTATATCCCCCCATTTTCAATCCCCCAATTCTTGGCCCTCCCCCAGCTTTCTTCAGTAGTCGCTTGTCTTCTAACTTCAAATCACACACAATCCCAGGGCCTCGCTCCAATCTAGTTGACAAGTCCATGTTCAAGCAAGCGGACAACGTCAGTTCATCCGTTTCCCTTTGGAGTCCTCGCGTCTCGCTAAGACTGGCATGCTTCAACGTGCGCACTTTGCTGCAGATTGGCCAACAGGCAGCACTTGCCCGCACACTAGAGACCCTGTCGATCGATATTTGCTGTTTATCAGAAACCCGCCTGCAAGATTCGAGCTCCGTACTTACCCTGAGATCTCCAACATGCGACACTGGCGGCACATTCTCACTGCGCCTGTCTGGCGATGATGCAGCTTCAAATGCCGGTCAAGCTAGCGTCGGCATTGTTTTGAGTCCCCGGGCTGAAGCTGCTCTGATTGATTGGATCCCAGTAAACAGTAGGATGTGTGCCGTTAGATTAGCTGGTTCCATCCGTGCTACGAAGTCGCGCGGGGACAAACGGTGCCTGTTTGCCATTGCGGCTTACGCCCCTACAAACTGGAGCACTGATTCGGTAAAAGATGATTTCTATCAGCAACTTCACGAGCTCCTTCGTTACAGAAGAAGCACGGATACTGTGGTGTTGGCTGGTGATCTAAACGCCCAAGTCGGAAAGTTGTCCTCTGATGAGCTTCATCTGGGCGGCCAACATGGTGTAGGCTCGCGTAATGATAATGGTGAGCGCTTGCTACATCTATGTGAAGATACTCGCCTCTTTCTCGCGAGCACTAACTTCCGACACAGCACCCGCAGAAGTGTGACTTGGCGGCCCTCAGCCTCGGGCCAACCATGGACACAAATCGATCATATCGCGATCAGTTACCGCTGGAGGGGCTGTGTCCAAAATTGTCGCTCAATTTGGAGCACGAGCGTGGACTTTGACCACGCACTTGTCTGTGCCGACCTCCGGGTGCATTTCGGTGGACGTCCGCAACGTCGAGGTGAATGGATTGACACTAGCCAGCTGGCGAAGCCAGATGTTCTGAATGTTTACCATAGTGCGCTGACATCTGGGCTGAGTAAGCGCCCACTAAATACCGTTGAAGATCACTGGTCGCATATTCGTCAAACGTTACTGTCCGCAGGCATGTCTTCATGTGGCAAAGCAACTTGCCAAACCGGACATTGGGTCTCTACACAGTCTATGGAACTTATGGATGCTCGTCGACGTATTCCGGCTGGAAGCGAATACAATGAGGCTCGCAAAAATCTCAGGGCAAAACTAAGTGCTAGCCTTAGGAAAGACCGCGAAACCTGGTGGTCTCATCGTGCCTCTGAGATGGAAACAGCCGCTGCCGTGGGTAATCATCGTAAGTTACTCCGTCTGATACGGGAAACAGGCAGCAGGAGACC